TACCCCTCATCAGTCTCCATCAATCGCATAAGTGTGTTGTGATTTATAGCAACCCATTCACCATGATACTGATGCAGCAGCACCATCACTGTGATGTGATCCCTAGCAATCATCATAAGTCTAGCATATAGGTTGCTGAATTATAAACCTTTTGTGGCTTCTCTTCATAAATCGATTTCCCCCCTCCACCCCACAGTTTATATATTTCACCCTCTTTCCTACCCTCTCCCTACTACTACACTCATCACCTCCTGCTCATTCTGAATCCACATGCCAGGGTTACCTCCAGGACACTGGGGCATGTTCACTCATATAAAACTCATTCTCATCTCAACCTGGACCGCTATCTCGCTTTCTGGATGACTTCTCTGCCTGGCTACCCGACTTTCTCTCCTCAGAAATACCCTCCATCATTCTTGGTGACTTTAACAATGCTAGTAACATTAACTCCCCAGCTTCCACTCAATTTCTTAACCTAACCGCTTCTCTTCATCTAACACAATGGACACACTGTTGGAACTTCTTGCACAGCCTCACAGAGAAACACAAGCACACAGTCTAATATGCATGCTACTCATGGCTTGAAAAACACAGGAAGGAAGCCACAGGTTTATCACTGCCATCTAGTGACCGACAATGTATACTGCAGTAGTTGATGCAATAGACATAATGTGTATTTTAACACACACACACTCCTACTCACTCTGATGGTAACATACTATATATTGTGTCCTCTCACCTATGCACTCCTTGCAACCTCTCCAACACCCTTTCCCCCCCTCAGACCACAACCTTGTCAGTTTCATACTCACCCTGTCCCCAACCCTGAATCCCCCTACTTGGCACACTGTCACCCAGAGAAACCTTCACCACCTCTCTTCTCTACTTCGCTCTTCTCTTCTCTACTCTTCTACTGACTACCTCTGTGGCAAAATCTCACCCCTGTTCTGCCCTGACCTGGCAAACTAAAGAACCCCCACATCTTGAACAAATGTGGTAATAAACTATGTTTCTGCAAGACTTCATCCTGCATAAAGCTACCCTCCTTAAATATAACTCTTTCCTCCTTGCTGCCAAACAGACTTTTTTTGTCACTCTCATTAACACACTCTCATCCTGACCTCGCCAACTCTTTTCTACGTTTAACTCTCTACTATGTCCTCCACCGCCACCACCCACTAACTCACTCGCTGCCCAGAAAATTGCCATTCATTTAAAGAAACAAAATAGATACAATTTGACTGCAGGGTCTCAGGGAGTCTCTGCAAGATCTGTGGGGGGGCATTGCCGGGTCTCAGGGGGGCTTTGCTGGATCTTTGGTGGGCTTTGCAGGATCCATAGGGGGTTCTGCAGCCTGCAAAGCCCACCACAGATCCTGCACAGCCCCCCATAGTTCCTGCAGGGTCTCATGGGGTCTCTGCAGGATCTGTCGGGGGCTTTGCAGGATCCGTAGGGGGCTCTGCACCATGCAAAGCCCACCACTGATCGTGCACAGCCCCCCTGAGATCCAGCAGACTGCAGCGTCTCAGGGGGTTCCTCGCAGAGCTCACCACAGATCTTGCACAGCCCCCCTGAGACCAGCTTTCCTGCTATGCTAATAGCGGAACATGTCAAAAGCTGGATACAGCATGTGCACCGCATCCAGCGACTGACAGGTTACGCAAAAAGTATTAAACAGGAAGGGGTGGGGGAATTTAGTGGGGGGGAATTTAATGGGGAGGCACCCAAGTTTTGCCTTGCCTAGGGCAGCCCCAAACCAGAATACACCACTGCCGATGACACTCAAGTCTATCTTTCTACTCCGCAACTCACCCCCTCACTTTCCTTGCATGTCACTAATCTATTAACTGACATATCAGTCTGGATGTCGCAACACTTCTTAAAACTTAACCTTTCAAGAACTGAGCTCATTTTATTCCCTCCTGCCCCTGCATCTTCCTCCAACTTTTCCCTTGATATTGATAACACAACTATCCAACCCTCCCCCCTTGCCACGGTTCTAGGTGTCATCCTTGACTCGGACCTCACCTTTCTTCCCCACATCCAATCACTATCCAAATCCTGCCGCCTTCACCTTCATAACATCTCCAAAATACGCCCCTTCCTCACCAAGGAAACCGCAAAATTACTCATCCACTCCCTTGTTATCTCTCGTCTTGACTATTGCAACTCCCTCCTCATTGGCTTACCTCTACACAGGCTATCCCCTTCAGTCTATCATGAATGCTGCTGCTAGACCCATTCACCTAACCAACCTCTTGGTATCTGCATCCCCAATCCCTCTGCTGATCCCTGCACTGGCTTCCAATAGCCCAAAGGATAAAATTCAAAATAGTAACAATGACTTACAAAGCCATCCACAATTCCGCCCCCGGGTATGTCTCAAACCTTGTCTCAAAGTATCACCCTAACCATCTCCTCCGCTCTTCCAAAGGCCTCCTTCTTTCCAGCTTCCTCGTCAAATCCTCCCATGCTCGCCTCCAGGACTTCACTAGAGTCTCTCCCATCCTGTGGAACTCTTTACCCCAACCTGTCCATCTATCTCCCACTTTGACTGCCTTTAGGTGATCCCTTAAGACTCATCTCTTCAGGGAAGCCTATCCCACCTCAAACTAACCACTCAACCATCACATTCTCAAACAATTCATCCCCACACAGCTACCTCATCATGTATCACTTGCCCCTCCCTTTTAGATTGTAAGCCCTCACGGGCATCCATACCATCTTTTCTTGTCTTGAATTGTAATGTCTTCCTTATATTGTAAAGTGCTGCACAAACTGTTGGCACTATATTATAGAAACACTGTTTTATTTGTTGACTGGTAAAGGATGTGAGGGAGAATTATTGACATTTACTGTACATAATGTTTTATTTGAAGAAGGTGAAGCTTTACATCATGGACTTTTAGGGTTTTGGAGGCCCCTTTGTACAGATACTTGGACTTACTGTAACTCTAAATGGGAAAAGGGACAGTGTACCTTTACTAAAGCTGAATACACTCACCTTATGCACAAGGCTGGATAACCTCACCTCAGTTCCCCTTTCTTTTATTTGTAAAGAGAGATATATGTCATGCAAAGCTTGAGCCAATATGTTGACTGCAAGAAACACTCTATAAGGAGTTTTATCATCAGGAAAATAAAAATCATTTTTAATACTTTTCAAAGTGCAGTTTCGAAGAGGATAGCTTAGCGTAAGTAGAATCATATGGTTCTTCCTTGGATGTTTTGAAAAACAGCCGTATTGAGTTATGAGAATATCATCTTGTATTGGGTCATCTGGGCGGCTTGAGGGGGTAATGCTATCAAAATATTCCTCCATTCCCCTTATAGAAGGATCAGGACTTGAAAACACCAAACTGCAGTTACTGATAATAAAAAATTCTGCTGACATTGACCAAGAATCAGGAATGATAAATGTTTTATTCATGTGATAAGGAACACTTATCCACAAAAACTTGTAATAAGTTCTGCTAATTGAGCCACAAATAATAAGAACTTCAGTGGTTGATGTCCAGAGATCTAGTGGGATCGTATCATGATTCTTCACAGATACAATAATCCTAAATTCAATACAAATTCCATGATTAGTTAACTGTTTGCTGAGCTGTTGGATCTCATTCCCTCCATATTCATCATCAGATGTAATGATCCCGACCCAGTTCCACTTCAACCTTTTCAGTAACTTCACTATGGCCACATATTGCATCTCATTATCTGGAACTGTCCGGAAAAGGTTTGGAAACCTCTTTCTGTCACTTAGTAAAGTATCTCTGGCTCCATAACTAATCTACAAAGAAAGAACAAATGATTATTAAGTTAAAGTGTATGTCAAACTTTTTTAATTTCCGAATTATGTGGGGAAAGGTTACTCCTCAGATTTCCGGCCTGGTAAAAAGTTGTCAGCTGGGCAGGAAGTGAGGGGCAATCTCTCTAATGGAGACCTGAAAATACTAAAAAAAGAAGTTTGGCTGACCATGCACTTTGTCAGATTTCTTTTAGGAGGTGGATTTTCACCTTGATGATATTTCCTCTTTCTTCTTGTTGTATTTTTGGGACAAGGAGTGAAATGAAATCTCCCCAGCAAGACTTGAACAGCCGATAATAAACTGACATGGGGTTTTTAACATTTTCCTAATCACTTTTCAGGAAACAAATTCAGCCACAATCAGGCAGCAGCGGCCCTCTATCCAGGCAAATTAGAAGGCCGCTCGCTGGGGTCTCTTGGGGCCCTAGTGAGGAGCAAGCGGCCCTCTAAAATGACTGAATAGAGGGCCGCCGCTGCCTGATCACTGACCCAGGTACCAAGGTGATCTGTGTTGGCCGGGCCTATTTGCAGGGACAGGCCTTGAGCGGCAGCTCCACCCACCCCTATGTTATTCCGGTCCTGGTCATAGCTATAAAGAAAGAAAGGAATATTTAATTCTCCTGCTGCCCACACTGCTGAACACCACTCTGACACTGAGAACTCCAGTGCTAACATTTCTTCTAGGACTGTCTATCTCTTGGCTCTGGAGGTTGCTATATGTACATAGAGACTAACTAACAGACTCTCCAACGTTTCTTCTAATTACCTCCTTTTGAAATATTAAGTAAAGTCTCACTTGTAATGTCTTTAATAATGTCATACATATAAAGAAAGAAAGGAATATTTAATCCTCCTGCTGCCCACACCACTCGGACGCTGACTTCTCCACACCTGAAATGTTTTTAGAACTGTCAATCTCTTGGGTCTTCCATGTGTTCAATGGTTCCTCCTGTGACTTCTATGTCACTACTGTATCTTGTAATGATTCACGGTTAGCAGGAGGAACCACTGACCTTTGGGATGAGATCCTGGAAAACAACACTCCTGGAAGTTTCTGTCTCAGAAAAAAGTTCAGCAGTGGATTACTCATCATCAGAGTTGGGTTTCAATGGCATGGGCAACTGGGAAGATTTTTTTTAAATAAACACATGTAAAGATAATGAGCAATGTCTGCAATGTTTGAATATCTTACCTGTGTGTAACCATATACATTCAAAAGCTGTGCCATTTGGAGAGTTGTATCTGATTTGAGACCTCCGATGAAACCAGCCACTGTACCCCGCACCATACAGGAATAATTGGGAACTGTCTTGGAATGTCCAGACAAGATCTGCACAACATCTTTTGTGGCTTTATTCACATTTCCACAGGAATCATACACATGATATCCCAGAGTCACATTGGGCAGAATATCTGGACTGCTGTTTATCTCATCAATAGCAAAGATAAAAGCCAGGAGATGTCTGTATTCTCTCTGGTGAACTCTAAAACAAAAAATTCAAAATGTTTTTTTTGCCAGGCCAGATATACATTCCAGATCTTATGAAACAATTTATAGCAAGATTTCACACTATCTACATCAAGATGAATCAAGGTCTGGTGAATCGCACCTCTAATACAGGATTCACAAAGCATTACGGGTTTCCTAAAGAGAGCGTATAGAAGAAGATGCCTGTTATTAGGTTTCTTCTGTCTGATTGAAACCTCGGCTTGAGCTGTATGGAAGCGAGAAGTCACTATTCTATAATACAACAATAACAATTCTATGTGGTCACAACCTTACAGATCTTATGTAAACTTCTGTACTTGATATTTGACTTACGCTGAACACATGACATTGTAGAATAGGCTTCCGGGAAATCTCCACCTTTTCACTGCAGAATGAACAGCAAATATTCCTCCTATTATGACGTCTCCTTCTTGGGAATATTTGTACTCAAATGTATAATGCTGAATTCTGAGATCACATTGGTGAGCAGAGTTCTGAGTGTCACATTTGCAATGTGTCACACACAAAGCCAACAGAAACAAGTGTTTCAGCATAGTGAAAGGGATGTGCCAATATCTCTGATAGGTGTGAATGAAATGCTATCTCTTCTTTCATCTCTATCAGTGCTAACATTATTGCACCCATATATTCAGGAGCACTGTGGAAAATGAGGACATACTGTACAGGAGCCATAACTATATAATTTTAATTTATGAACTAGGTCATCAAATAGCTCTGCCAAGGAGGCTCATGCACGCAGCTGTCAATGGCTCTGAAATACATCCACATTCTCTACTTTAGCAGGAAGCACCCCGCTTCTCATACCATCAAAAACGTAATATTGATCTAGTGATCCTACTACCAGTGGTGTATTCTGGTGTGGGGCTGCCCTAGGCAAGACAAAACTCGGCGCCCCCCCCCACACTAAGTTTACCCGCCCGACTGTGGTCTCAGGTGGGCTCTGCAGGGTTTGTGGTGGGCTACCTGAGACTCTTTGGTGGGCTGTGCAGAATCTATGCTGGGCACTGCCCGCACAGTCCTTTTACCTTGCATGGCCTGACCTCTTTGGAACACGGCCTCCATGTCCTCGGCGCCCGACTGGACGGCCTCCTCATCCTCTGTGTCCAACACGGCCTCCTTGTCATCTTCGCTGCCCAACTGGAGCTCCGGCAACGCCTCCCGCCTCCTCCGTTGGTGTCTCTGCCCCCCGCCTCTTCCGTCTTCGCCCCCGCCTCTTCCGTCTCTGGGGCCACTCGACAAATTTTCTTCTTTCATGGGGGCCGCTTGCCAAATTTCATACTACAAAATAAAATGTACTGTATCTGGTATGGCACTACAGACACTAATACACACTCATAATAAGGTTCTATTCATATCTGTAAGTTTAGGTGCGATTAGGGATTCCTGCATCAGAAACTTGCGTTTTACTGCAGCAGAAATCCTTAATCTGGTGTTTACATTACATGCTGTCACCCATTTAAGTTAATGATCAGGTGACAGCAGCTCCATGTAAACGCCTGTACACCGCATGTAATGATACGTGATATGATTACATGCGGTTAGAAAACACTCTCCCTGAATGCACAATCGATGCGTCCAGGGAGAGTGATTGATTCCTAACCGCATGTAAACATTACTGCAATTACTTTTGCACGATATTCTAATTATTCGAGTTTCACCTGTATATATATATATAGTGATAGTTTGGGGAATATAGCACAATGGTAAGCGCTAAGAGACCACTCCTGAAGCCGACTTTAACATAAAAAGGACGGTCTTTCTTCATTCAAAAGGTGAACAGTCCATGAACTTCACAAAACAACTTGCTTTTCTTCAGCATAAATAAACCATAACAGTTCATTGGACTCTCATCAACACATCATATTTTGGGTCTCACCGACATCTGGCTGTCCCATACACTCCCAGTGTGATAGTCCCAGGACTTGCCCTGGAAATACAGTTCTCAGCAGCTTTCCTCAGCTCCAAGCCTTTTAGTATTCACCCCTCGTGGGTCACGGTCCTGCTCTTTCTCCCCGACAGGTATCTCAGGTTCACGGACCCTCTGGACCTCTCCAGCCTTCCCGGCTGTGTCCCTTGTGCTCATGCACGCAGCAGTGTCTGCCTGTAACCGTGCGCCTACAGCACACCCACAACTCTCCTCTAAAGCACTGGGATGGCTTCCTAATAAGGCTGCTCTCAGCCACCTGTTCAGACCAACCTGGCCACTGGCAACACCTGGCCCCAGGACTGGAGATCCCATCCCACTATAGTCTGCAAAACCTGGAAGGAATTGAACAGCCAGTAACTCCTCTCCAAAGGTATTTACATTGTGGAACCTCTCTCTGTGGATTACTGAACTGTGTAATTACTACTAATTTATAACTCCAATACTGATATTACTCATGATCTATGTGGTGACTTCTGAACTGTGAGGTTACTACCAAGTTTAACCAACTACATTTGCCTATACACATACAGCACAGCAATGAAGTAATAAAATGAACTAGGATCACACTAATCCTAAAATTCTAATCATTACCAGCCCTAATATATATATATATATAAACTACCCCAGTCTTTGTCCTACCCCAGTCTACCCCAAAACTACCCCAGTCCCATTCTTAAATGTGGTGATCCACATTTGAAATAATTCCCAGTCTCCCCCTTCCCCTGCACCTAAAATACAATCTAGAGCACCCTCTCCTGCTTACCTGGTTGCAGGGAGGAGGCTGTGAGGTGGCACGTCGGTCCCGGTGATCGGTGGTCAATTGGTAAGGTCTGCTGTAGACCTTCCCAATCGATCCTTCACAATCCTTTCGGCCAGCGTTCACTGAAAGAGCCCTGGCCGAAAGGATCCGAGTGCCGGCGCAGACTCAGCTACACAGTCTGCATGCGACAGAGATGCAGACCGTGTAGCTGCTCCCGCAAGTCAGGTATGCGGTAAGTGACCCCGTACCTGACTTCTGAGCTGGCTGCAAGTGGCCCGCAGGCCAGTAATTTGAGACTCCGGCATTTTTGCCGCTCCCTTTGAATCTGCCGACCGCTGCAAACACCTTGGTTGCCTCGCGACAGATATGCCCCTGCCTACTACCATCCACCATGCATCATTCAGGTGCCCATGGAAGGCGTAAGCCCAAAAATAAGCCTGTTGCTGAGGCCCTGGCTTGAGCTTTGGTCAAAATGATGCTGGCTCCTTTAGCTTGTGGTTTTGACTTACGTCCCCTCTGCTTCAAGCGGTAACCTGGAAGACGATCATAAAGCTGGTGATCCAAATATTTGTATATGTAATTCTCTGCTTCATTTCAGAGGTTTAACACCATATTCTAGAGAGCTCTGCATTCCACATCAAAGCATATTACTAATTGTCCCTTCAAGGAGATTTGGGAGATTGGACCGAGTACCAAGGTGCTCAAAGATAAGTGTGATGACCTTACAGGGGCAATTGCTAATCATAGCCATGATCTAGAGGCACTACAGGATGACAAGATATTCCATCACTCCAAGATTGAAGATGCAGAGAACTGTTCCTACAGCTCCAACATGAGGATTTGCAGGCTCATGGAGAACATCACTGATCTCTTTTCAGCCACAGTGACTCTGTTTCAGGGGCTCACTCCTGACATCCCCATAAACTGATTGTAGGTTGAAGGAGTACACAGAGTTCATAAAAAACTCAAGTGACCCTCAGACATGATAGTGAAGCTCCTATACTATAACACAAAGGAAACCCCTTTAATGTGTGATAGGCAATGGTCTACACAAGCTACACTTACCTTCCAAGGTCATGAATACTAAGTTTTGTATGGACTTAGCACCCTCCACATCCTAAGGTGGCCATACACTCTACAACCATCGCAAGACTTTAGTCTTGCGATGGTTGTACAGGGATTAAAAAACGTACGATCTGCCTATCTTGGACAGGCAGATCACACTCTCGATCATCGCAAGCCTGCCCCCCTGAGGGGCGGGCTTCCAATGACCGCAATGCTCAACGGGCAGTGTGCGCGTGCGCACACCGGCCCGCTCGGCATTGGTCTTCCGAGCACCGTTCTAACCAGCCGAGAATCGTACGATTCCCGGCTGGTTTTCGAACATGCTGGTTCGACAGAAGACATGCGACCGTACAGTAGAAACGGTTGCACGTCTCCGTTCACACTGCTCGATTATCGTACGAAAAACCGATCGCATACGATTATCGTACGATAATCGTGCAGTGTATGGGCACCTTTACAGAGATGTACCTTGAAATTGCGCCTTAACATAATTAACAGCCATCAGATACTTTATTAATGGGGTATTACCTTTCACCATCTATTCTCCTACTAGGACTGCACATCACTTTAGGAGTTTCAGTGTTGCCACTTTGGGCCTAATAGGTACACATTCACCTGCTACTCAACCTCCTCCTACATCTTTAACAGCAATAAGAACCCGCAGTGATTCAGATCATGGCACCTCTGGGGAAACTCATGCACTGGCTGTCAAGGTTATCCCAAGAGTGGGATCCCCAGGATGAAAGCTCATTGTGACTGCTGAGTAGACATGTGCGATTTGTTTCGGAAAAATTATTTTTTTCAGACAAATGTTTGTTATTTGGAGATTTGGATGTATCCGAATTTCTGAATAACAGAGACAACGAATGAAAACGAATCCGAATTTCTAAATTTTCATTGCAGCAAAGAGAATATTTTTTTTTTCCAATGTCACTTTGCTGCAACGAATGAATGGAACAAACCGAAAATTCATACAGACTACTGCTGACGAATTTCGTCCGAATCCGAATACCACAACGAATTGACTTTCAGACCCGAATCGTGAAATAAGGAAAAATATGAATTAAAACGAAACCATTTTTTTGCTGGTGCACATATCTACTGCTGAGATCCATACCCACAGTCTGTGGCTCCTTTCATGATAACCAATAAATGGTTATTACCTCATGCTATGGATCGATGTGGAATGCCGCTTACCATGTTCATTGTTCCTTTTTGTCTCTATATACTGCAACATAGACTTTAAGTAATACCACTACTGACATTTATGTTTTATTGATTTTCTTTATGTCTATTGTGCGTGGCTTGAATCATCTGTAACCTGATCCTGCACTTAAAGCTTGGACTTGTTTTATCATCTCTTAGCTGCTGAAAGTCTGGCCCACAGCTCCACACTCCTCTCTTTTATCATGCATATATACAGGAAAACTTTCCCTTTATACCGGGCAACTATTATATCCTACAGAATGCCTCCTCTATTTTACCTTTCTTTGTTTTGTTCACCTTCTTCATATGTTCAGCTATCTATCATGACCTTCGTTACTCGGCTAGTAAGACTTAGAAGGATGGGTAGAATGCTCTGTAGCACCTCTCTGATGCTTCGTACCACTCTATCTAAGCCCCCTATCTTCATTCTGCCTTTATCCCAAATTCTATATGTACAAAGTCCTAACCATAAGTCCTTGCTTCTCACTACATCACCTGTTTCTATTTTTGATATATGTAACTTCTTCCTGTTATGGATCTTGTCACCTGTGGGAGCCATCTTGTTTGTGATACTCAGGCATCCCCAGACTACTTAGGCATCCCATGCTTATGCCTAACAAATAAAGATGTTTCATACTGCATGAATACACTTACCATACATCTTCCCTACACAACCACTGCATGGTGAGGTTCTTAATTTTTTTTTCATTTTGGTTCATGCTGCGCAGGTGATCAAGTCATTGTGACCCCACTTTGGACAGGGAAGGATAATATATAGACCCTTCAATCTTTATATTTCTTCTTCTGCTTTACTTTTCTTTTTTTCATTGCCTCCCAAATGTGTGTAGCCAGATGAATTGTAACCAAAGGGCTATTCACCATCTTGCAGTCTGATGTTCCTGCTTAGCACCCCCATTGTTTACATAACTACGGCTCTTCAAGTGTGCAGTCTAAATGTAGAAGGCCTTCATTTGTGAAATAAACAAACTTGAATATTTAGAATTCTTTCAGTCAACTTGTGCAGATATTGTGCGCCTCCAAGAAACACATTTTCCCAATCCTCCGTTCCTAAATATTTGTGTGCTCAATTCCCTCATATTTACATGGCCATCAATGTTCATAAACATAATGGGATCCTTATAGGTTTTAAACACAACTCATTTTAATTGCCACTCCATGACTTATCAGGGAGATTTGTATTTTCACAGTGCTCCTTCACGACGCTGAAATAACAATAGTTTATTATGCCTCAAAAATAGGACCAAATCTTCTTCTCCACCCAGTTATATCACAATGGAAAGATATGATTTTTATGTGTGTTGATTTTAACTTCACTTTATATCCCTATAGGGATAGATTTAAGGACTCCACAATGTACTTGCAATCTTTGGAGGCCTGTTGACTTCTTTTGTGTCATTAATATTTATTATTATTATTCAGTAGATTGCTGATGAGAAGTCAATCTCTTGAAGCTGCAATCTCTGATTTGGTCCTGCTTGAGGTTCCTGAAGGAAGCCATCTTGCTGTTCTCCACATAATCTTTTTAAAGGAAGTGTATTTATTGGTGGGGCCACGCACTAATGGCTTTAACGTCATGAAAAAACACCCTGTAAAGCTTGAGGTAGTTGGAAAGGAGAACAGCAACCCCGACACTCCTCCCAAGTGGAGCATATTGGCTTCTCTGCTAGGTATAAAACTGTGCTTAACCAGGATCAAGGAACATTTTGCATTTTTGGGGGGGCTGCATACAAACAGAGCCTGAACGATTACTATTTAAAGTGGCTTGCAAAAGTATTCACCCCCTTGGCATTTTTCCTATTTTGTTGCATTATTACCTGGAAATTAACATGGATTTTCATTTTTGCTGGGAGGGGGTGGATTTGCAACATTTGACTTACACAACACCTCTACCACTTTGAAGATTACATATTTTGTATTGTGATACAAACAAGAAATAAGACAAAAAAAACAGAAAACCTCAGCGTGAATAACTATTCACCCCAAAAGTCAATACCTTGTAGAGTCACCTGTTAGTAATTACGGCTGCAAGTTTCTATATGCTTGACACATCTAGCCACTGGGATTTTTGTTCTTTATTCAAGGCACAAATGCTCCTTCAAGTTGGATGGGTTTCACTGGTGCACAGCAAACTTTAAGTCATGCCACAGATTCTAAATTGCATTGAAGTCTGGGCTTTGTTTAGGCCATTGCAATACATTTAAATGTTTCCTGTTAAACCACTCGAGTGTTACTTAAGCAGTATGCTTAAAGTCGTTGTCCTACTGGAATGTGAACCTTTGTTCCAGTCTCAAATGTTTGACAGACTAAAACAGGTTTCCATTAAGAATTGTTCTGTATTTAGCACCATCCATCATTCCTTCAATTCTGACCAGTTTGCCAGTCCCTGCTGATGAAAAACAACCCCTCAGCATGATGCTGCCACCACCATGCTTCACTGTGGGGATGGTGTTCTTGGGGTGATGAGAGGAATTGGGTTTGAACCAGACATAGAATTTTCCCTGAAGGCCAAAAAGCTCAATTTTAGCCCCATCTGACCAGAGTACCTTCATCTGACCAGAGTACCTTCTTCCATATGTCTGGGGAGTCACCCACATGCCTTTTGGCAAACAACAAATGTGCTTGCTTACTTTTGTTTCTGTTGTTCAATGGCTTTTTTTCTGGCCACTCTTCCATGCAGGCCAGCTGACCTGATCAAAGATTCAATAATAATACTCTGACGGGGCTGCTGTTCAGTCTCAGGTTGGGGTACCTCAGAATACATGCAAAATGAAGAACACAAAAAACAGCGCCCTCTCTTCGTGTAGTAACATTTATTCTATAGATTGCTGTTAAAAAAAAGGATTATTCCTCAAAAAATCCATCTGTGTAAAGCATATATATTCATCATATTATGCACTCGGTTCTGAAGAAGATGGCTTAGCCATTGAAATGCGTCAACATAGCCATATCTATTGCTTCGTGTGATACTCTGAAGTCCAATCAGTTGTATGGTACTGGCATCTTGATGATCTTGATGAATGCATGTTATATATGCTTTACACAGATGGATTCTTGTGAGTATCATTCTTTCTTTTACAACAATCTATAGAAGAAATGTTACTACATGAAGAGAGGGCGCTGTTTTTTGTGTTATTCTTTTTGCATGTATATTGAGAAAAGTGTGCTTACAATAAACATCCAAAAAATTATTGTTCTTTATTCTCAAGAAGGAATTAAACATCACAACTGCAAAGACCAAGGATCTTTATGCAAAAAAAAAATTTCTTGTAATTATAGATTATATTTTGATTTAAGAAGCTCATCAAAGTAATAAAAAAAACTATCCTCTGTTTTCAAGCAAGCCTGTTTTTGTATTCAGATCAGGTCTGAACAGAATGATGTAACATTTTGGGAAAAATATACAGCCAAGGAGTCCAGTACTTGAGGCCATTATAGCAAAAATCTCCACAGCCACCATGTATTTCCCTCTGGTGCTCAGATAGGCCGGGATCATGGCAATCCAGACACTGCAGAACACCAGCATGCTGAAGGTGATGTACTTGGCCTCATTAAAACTGTCCGGTAATGTCCTGGCTAAAAAAGCTATAATGAAGCTCACAGCTGCCAGAAGCCCCATATATCCCAGGACAGAGTAGAAGCCGATAACTGAACCCTCATTACACTGAATGATGATCTTTCCCTGATAAGAGTGAGTGTCTCGATCCTGGAAGGGAGGAGATATAGCCAACCAGGTGACACAGATTATAACTTGCACCATTGACAACACAGACAAGATAGAATTCGGCAATTTGATTCCCATCCATTTCCTCCAGGAACTCCCAGGTTTGGTGGCTTTAAAAGCAATACACACGATGATACTTTTGGCAATTAGAGAAGAGACGGCAACTGAGAAGATGACACCAAAAGAGGTTACACGCAGCATGCAGGTTACATCTACTGGATGGCCGAGGAACAAGAAGACACAGAGGAAGCTCAGCATGATGGAGGCCAGGAGAAGATAGCTCAGGTTCCGGTTATTAGCTTTAACAATGGGCGTGTCCTGGTAATGTATAAACATCCCCAATATTACACCAGTCAGAAGACAACAGAGGATGGAGACTGCTGAAATTACAGCAGCAATTGTATCATCAGTGTAGGAGAGAAACTCCACCAATTTTGGAACACACCGATCCTTCTTCTCATTTGGCCATTCTTCATCAGAACATTTCATGCAGTTTTCACTGTCTGCAGGGAGAAAAATACCAACATAATGAGCACTAGACATGTGCAATTAGTTTCGTTCCGAATCGAAAATTCGGATGAAATTTCGGAAATTCGTAGATTCGGAGCATCCGAATTTCCGAAATATAACAAATCCGAAATCATCCAAAAGCACCCAAATCCGAAATTTCGAATCCGAAATTGCGGATTTGGAACGAATTTCGTTCAAATCCTGTGCGTGCACTGTTAACATTTAAACGGATAAAAACAAATAAAGAGAAGGATTTTAATATCCCTTTAATTGTAAAGACGAGAGCGCAGCAACCAGAAATGACAAACCGAACCGAATACATATTCCGAATCCGACACAAATTCCGAATCAGATCCGAATACGAATCCGATTCCCGAAACGAAACACATAGGATCCCAATTCCAAAAACGAAATAAATGAAATCCGAAACTAAACTAAACCAAACAAAACTATTTTTTTTATCATTCTAATGAGCACCTTTGTCAAAGTGTCTGAGAAAAAGGTCTTGTGTTGCCTCACAGTTAGCAATTGGATTTCCATCAGTGCATTGTGAGTCTGTATTCTCCAACATTACACATAGCATTATACATTGTCATATAATAGTTGTTTTCTTTATACGCCATTGAAAGCATTTTATAGGAATATCAGAGCTTCCCTGCTCACACCTACTGTGGTATTTCAAGAAGTTCAATTTGTCCTCCTGGTTCTTATGTTTGAATTACCGAATGAATTGTATCTATGATGTGGAGAATATGATAGGGAGTAGGTTTGATAAGCAATAGAGACATTGGCAGGACTGATACAGGATCTGAGACAATTTCTGGCTGATCAGCAGGTATTTTTCTATACTTTCAGGGTCTTTAAAGGGATAAAACACAGAGATGTACTGCAGAGATGTACTGTATCTGTTTTGGCTTTTTTTGTCCTCACACCTTCAACTTGAAGAAATATATATGTGAAATGTTGACAGCAAATATAGTGTGTTCTTTATTATCTATTGATCTTTGATCCTGTGTTCAGAAGTCTATAATAAAGTAAGAGATGAGTGTTGGTTTGGCTCATCCTCCAGCTGATGCAGCCAGAAGTAATTTATTTAGTAGTGGAATCAATATAACCGCTAAATAATATCTTTCCACCTGCCAGGGATGTGAGGATGAGGCCCTTCTCCTCATTAACATGGAGATAAAGTGCTTTGCAAAGGGGGAGCTGCTTTTCCCTATTTATAAGCGTTTCCACAGTTTTCCCACCCCTCGACATGAAGGAATAAGGGCATAGTACCCCTAATGTACATACATCTAATCTCAATTACATCTTCCAGTGATGACTATTCAACAATAATAATGATGAGTGATGCCCAATTACCTAAAGACAGGATTGCCCACTGCCACAATGTTCATCTTCTGCAGCTACCCCCACCACCCAGATACCACCCAGATAGCACTTTACACAAAGGTTTATGTGGTGCTAACTGAACCCTTATGAGGCAATGGACATACTTTTCCCATTCACTGTTAGTAAATTTGTAGTGCAAGTCATTTACCTGGAAGGTGCAGAAGTGAGCTGATTCTTTGTATTAGGGATTAGCAGAAAGTATAGTGTGAGGAAATTGTGTGTTGATGGGGTGTCATTGTCACAATATTCAGATCCCCGAAGAGTTTCATTTTCTGTTTATTATTGACTGTAAAGTCCGGAAGTATTTATACAAAGTCATGTAATTGTAATAAAAAAACAGACAAAACACAAACAAACAATACAAAGTCTACCAGGAATGTTGGATATCTCTCCTTCTGGACATGGGACACACTCATAGCAGCATTCATGAACTGAAGATCCAAACTTCTTCCTTGTTCCAGGTAAACAAGGATCTGAGCACCGAGATACCGGGACCTGAAAATCAGATTTATTATCATTTTGAAAAGGTCCATCATATCCCATGGAATGAGGTTCAGGTTTATCTTATCATGAGTTTGAGACCCAGGAAATGTTTACAAATCATAATGCGCTGCATGGCCTTTGAACTTTGAACTATTTCTCATCAGCCTTTAGCTGGCCACACACTAATAGATTTATTTCCTGTGGGCTAAACGAAAAACTAGCAAAATTCTTCAACCATGCAAAACTATTATATATTGGATTCAGCTGTAGGGAAAGGATAGGAGAAGCTGACAAACTACACAGGGAGAAATTAGTGTCAGTTAGGGAAATGTACATTCATTCTGGTAACTCTTTGAGCAATCAACCCCTTTGGTGTCTTTTTTTGTCATTATAGGGGAGTTATTCATCTTTATTTTTATTACAAATATATATATTTTTTGTTTTTTGTTAAAACTATTATATATTGGATTCAGCTGTAGGGAAAGGATAGGAGAAGCTGACAAACTACACAGGGAGAGATTAGGGTCAGTTAGGGAAATGTACATTCATTCTGGTAACTCTTTGAGCAATCAACCCCTTTGGTGTCTTTTTTTGTCATTATAGGGGAGTTATTCATCTTTATTTTTATTACAAATATATATATTTTTTGTTTTTTGTGGTTATTTTTAGATCAGTGGCTACTTGTAGCTACTGTCCAATCAAAAGCAAAGCTTTTGAAT